AAGTGCAAAATATATTATTTATAGAAAGACTATGATATCAGCAGACAATCAAAACCTGAGATTTAGGGGGCGAAGTTAAGCTGATGTAGAGGAAGGTCGCACTAACTGCATTTATTTTACCCACTTTTGACCACCCCCAGGTTAGCCCCCCCATGTTGAGAATTTTAACAAAAGATTATTCCATTTGTTAGATCAGGTTAGATCAATAATTTTTTTCATTAGATCTACTCTAAAATATGCGATATTAACAATCATTTTCAGGGAGGGCTAACCCGTAGCCAGCCTCCCTCAAAAAAAAATTGTACAAAATGTTGTTGATTATAATAGCTCTACCTTAGATCAGGCAAAAATTTTCTTAGATCTAATTACTGAGATATTGCATATATAATTAGGGGGGGCTGCCCCCCCCAACTGAAATTTGGACAAAATTTTACTGATTTTGGTAGATATTTGTTAGATCAGGTTTAATCAACTGTTTTTTTCATTAGATCTATCATGGAAGAGGGGGTATTCACTACTTAACTTTGTGGGTGTGACTTCGGGTTAGGCCCCCTGAAAATGATTGTTAACTTCGCATATTTTAGAGTAGATCTAACGAAAAAAATTGTTGATCAAACTTGATCTAACAAAGATCTAACAAATGGAATAATCTTTTGTTAAAATTCTCAATATGGGGGGGCTAACCCAGGGGTGGTCCACTTTTGCTGCTTTATCCTTTTTGGGGGATATAATTGAACTCCCAGGTCTGTGGAAGCATTATGGGTCTCGAGACCAAAAAATAAAAGCCTACAAAAACACAGAGAGGCATGAATATCATAGAGCCACTGTGGCAAGCACATGGTGCACTTTGGTCCAAAATGGCTTCCTATCCAGAGGGCTACTCTGAACTATGGGATGATTTGTCCCTTAAGGCTGCGGGAGATGACATACCTGCTACAACAACTCCAGCACTGGCACCTTTGGGACCGGTGCTTCTCTGGTGATGACAGCAGTTCTTGGCGAACCTTCAGAACTTCCCTTAGAACCTTCAGAAAATTATTTAAACCAATGCAGTTACGCTCCATAAGGATCTAAAAGGCCTAACAGGCCAACTGAGAGTCTTGAAAGACACCTCCCATAATTGCTCCCAGTGGCGTACACCCAATCGAAGGGTGGGCCCTGGTGCGAAACTGATTCCTGCAAACCCAAAACAACACCCAAAAGATTGACTTATGACAGAGGTTCCAAGAAAGTGGGGAGGAGACAAGATAATAATATTAAAAAAAAGATATAAGGTACACGAAACTTATAGTCTCCACAACAGAACAAGCCACTTGGACAAATTCACAAACGAGTAAGGCCAAGATACCAAATAGCCCGCTGCAGACACAAATCATTCCACCACCCCAACCCCTGTCACCTATAACCCCCCTTTTCTGTTTCACCTTACTGTCTCAACCATAAGCTCTTCCTTCCCTCACCAACAGCCAGCAAACCTATCTCCAAAACAGTCCATGGTACCAGAACCTAGGACAAAGGAACACAAGTCTCCTAACCTCACTGCGGGGCCCCCGGGGTGACGGCTGACAGGTGCAACACGGTCACCACAGGTTGCCAGACTAACCCAAATGAAGGTTAAACCCACCTTAACCATGTGACAGTAAAACAAACCCATCCCGGGGAGAAGGTAACCCAACAGCCTAATCTCCTCCAACCCTAGCATCACAAAGGGTAGAGGTGACGATGGGTTTGCCAAAACTAGCCTAATATGTTAAAGTGACTTGAACAAGGTGTTACCAAAGTAATGTGATTATACTTTATACTACCATGGAATGTTATCAAGGAATGTTAAAGTGAGCTGGATTCTTCATGTGTTTCTGACCCCCATCCCTCTTTAATTTTTGTATCCCAGGTGACCTTGATAAAACAATAAACAACACATTTTTAAAAAAAAAAGGGGGGGGGGGGGGATTTTCTAAACAATCTATTATTAGAACATACACATTCCATTAATCACAAGTACCACTTTTGGAGCTGGAAGAAGCTTCAAATATCCATTGCAGACCATGGTTTGGACAGTGAAACCAATTTGTTGCTTTATCAGAAAGACTTTTGCTTGTTAATTTATTAGTGGCATTAAGACATTTAGCATTTCAGGGGAGCTTTCAAAGAATTGGAGATATGCAAAGTGGATGTCCCTTGAGGGTGGAAGAGAATTTCATGCTCATTATCCATCTTGGGCAACCCAAAATTTGTTTATTTATATAAAATGTGTCTTCTGTCTGAAAGGGAGAAGGCAATTTATTTATCTGATATATGATTCTACACCAGATGTTTCACATACAGAACAAAATGTAGTTGTCATACGTTGTATGTATAGAGATCTGAAGACTGAACATTTGTTTATTCAAGAAAGTTTTTTTGAGTATTCTGACTTTATCCAAAAGACATGTGAAGAGGTCGCAGAAAAGTTGTTATTGAGATGGGCTGAGCATAGAATGAATCTTAATGATTTCACAGGTTAAGGATCTGACAACGGTGCAAATATAAAAAGGTGCTACCAATTATTGAATATACATTATCTCACAAAAGTGAATACACCCCTCACATTTTTGTAAATATTTTACATCTTTTCATGTGACAACACTGTAGAAATGACACTCTGCTACAATGTAAAGTAGTAAGTGTACAGCCTGTATAACAGTGTAAATTTGCTGTCCCCTCAAAATAACGCAATACACAACCATTAATGTCTAAACCCTTGGCAACAAAAATGAAATGTCCAAATTGGACCCAAAGTGTCAATATTTTGTATGGCCACCATTATTTTCCAGCACTGCCTGTCCGCTCAGGGTTGCGGTGCAGTTGCCACACAAGCATGGGGGCCCCAGCGCGATGCCCAGCCAACCAGGGAGATCCTTTGATCAAAGATCTCCCTCACTGGCTCAAAGACCCTTTGTTAGAGGAGAGGACCCGGAGGCTGCAAGATAGGGAGGAAGGAAAGGACCTGGGAGGAGATCGCTCCTCCCGCAAGCATGCTGTGTGGAGCGTTTCCACGCGTTGACATGGCAACGTTCCACGCAGCGCTCTGCTCGGGAGGAGTGAAGATAGCCTGCAGCCAGAGGATCTGCAGGCTATAGAACTCCACCACAAGGGCAGTGTACCCCACTCCTTCACAAAAGGTAAAAAGAAAGGTTGGGGGGGACATGAAGATTTAATTAATGTACTGTACATTTTTTATTAAAAAACAAACAAAAAACATTTGCTCCATGCACCCCTCACACTATTCAACACACACACAGCACCCTCACACACACCACCCCTCACACACACCACCCCTCACACACACAGCCCCTCTCACACACACAGCAACCCTGACACACACACAGCAACTCTAGCACACAGTACCCCTCTCACACACACACAGCAACCCTCACACAAACATCACCTCTCACACACACACAGCACCACACACACACACACAGCACCTCTAACACACAGCACCTCTCACACACACACAGCAACCCTCACACACACAGCACCTTTCACATACACAGCAACTCTAGCACACAGTGCCTCTAACACTCAGCACCTCTCACACACAGCACTCCTACACACACACTGCACCCCTCACTGCAGTCTGTGTGAATTCAGCAGCCTGTGTGTTCAGCAGTCTGTGTGTGTGTGTATTCAGCAGTGGGCGTGTATATTCAGCAGTCTGTGTGTGTGTGTGTGTATTCAGCAGACTGTGTATGTATTTAGCAGTCTATCTTTTTGTACTCAGCATTCTGTGACTCAATTCAGCAGTTTGTGTGTTTTTATTGCATTTGTTGGAGGTACCAATAAATATAAGCTTAATTTTAGAGGTCATTTAAATTTTTATTTCTGTTAGTTGTTGTGTAGGCAGGGCCCCAATGCACCGCTTTGCAAGGGGCCCTTAATTCTGTTAAAATGGCACTGGGGGTCATCATGAGCACTCTGACCAGTTTGTGGCTACACAGGCCCATATGCAGCTAACTGGTCTGTGATGTACGGTGTGTTCTAACCCCTTTTCTTTCATTGCCAATATTAAGCTTTTCAGCAATTTGAGTTACAGTAGAGTAGCTCTTCAGTGTGATTGCACTAGACAGGCTAGCCTTTCCTTCTCATGTGCATCAATGAGCCCTTGGGCACTCATGACTCTGATAACAGTTTACCTGATGTCCTTTCTTGTACCACTTTTGGTAGGTACTAGCCACTTCATACCGGGAACACCCCACAAGACTTGCTGTTTTAGGGATGCTCTGACCCAGTCGTCTAGCCATTACTGTTTGGCTCTTGTCAAAGTCACTCGTTTTTTTTCTCTTGCCTATTTTTCCTGCTTTTAACACATGAAATTCAATATATACCACCCCCAGATAGTTGTCATTGTAATGATTTAATCAATGTTATTCACATAATCTGTCAGTGGTTTTCAGTTTTTGGCTGATCATTGTATATTCAAATGATTAACTATATGGCAATAGGATGGAGATGATGGGGTCACCAACCACCACTAGAGGGCTGTGGCAAACCAGTAAAAATAAAACAGCAATGAGACGGTAGAGGTAATCGGCTGTTCTCTACAGGTCTCTGGATCATACTAACACAGACTAGACTGTCACATTCTTAATTTGCCATGGGGGCCAACCACTGAAAAAATAGAGGACTGGAGAGCAAAAGTCTCAAGTGAAAAACTCAGATTATGAGCTCGTGAAAAAAAGTAAAATATCTCTGTAATTATGTGAGAGCTAATCTAAAACTACTTGATCTTGCCTGAATGGTTTGTTTTATGTGGGGGGGGGATAATATTTCAGTAATGATGTGATATGATGTAATTATTGTTGCCTTACACTACACTCCTCATCTACCTATTATTGCTGAACTACAGGTATAATGACGTATTATTGCTGAACTACAGGTATAATGACGTATTATTGCTGCGACGGCGTTCATATTTCCCCCACCCCCACATAACTAAAACTTTATTGACAAAGACAACGCTGACATATTTCCCTGCGCATGCGCTAACCAGACAAACCCAGGGCTTCCTTGACTGCGTTCCTTATGAAGAAGCAAGGGGTTCCCGGTGTGGTGGGGGCCACCGATAGGCTGACCAAGCTCAGCTGCCTGATTGTAGGGAGTGCTGCAACGGGAGGTAGGTGGCCGGGTCAGGTGATCACTTACTGGGCGCTGTCACGTGACCAAAGCCTCCCTGTCTGATCATGTGACCTGTGCTGTGTGCCATGGCATAGTGGTTGGCTGAATGAGCTGGTTGCCAGAGCCACTATGTATTCATATATATATATATCTTCTTCTTTACAGACAGTGTACAAAAGGTTCTACTCTGCAGTATGTAGAATTCATATGCTTTAGGATTCCTTACTCTTTACCACCCCCTAGTTGCAGCATTTGAAGTCTACATACCACAGCACTTTCAATGTTGTACCCACCAATAGTTTATCATGGGTCCTCAAACTCCGGCCCCCCCAGATGTTGCTGAACTACAACTCCCATGATTCTTTGAATTACATAGATAGCCAGAAAATCATTGGAGTTGTAGTTCAGCTACATTTGGGGGGCCGGAGTTTGAGGACCCATGGTTTAAGTGATGTGTGTCCAGGAAATCAGGATTGATATGGCCACACTTTTTTTTTTTTCTTCCCCAAAACAATTTTGCAGCTTAAAGGAAAACTTCAACATTTATAAGTGGATAAATTTATTTTTAAAGCTGGCATGTAATATAGTTGATTTAGATTATTGAACTCCTGTTAAAAAAAATAAAATTAAAATAAAAAAAGGCTATTACAGTACTTCCTATTGTTGACAGAGGTCTGCTCTGCTCCTGTTCGATCATGATCAGTGAAGATCACTTGTCAGTGCATTGCCTTTCATAAGGACACTGTGGGAGTCAGGGAGCTTGTGCATCAATCGCCACGTTTCATCAGCAGAGAAACTGGTAGATGTCCTTCCAAATCCCAGAGCCAGTAAAGTAAAGTGTAGTTATATGGACTAGTGCTGTGATGTAATGCTCCTAATAAAATATACAAATGTAAGAAATTATCTACTATTCATTTTAACTAAACCAGTAATGGCTTACCATAGGCATTCCAGTGATATTTCCATTGTTTTCCAGGATACGTATCACTTTCCCATTTTGAAGGGCAACACATGAAAAAGTGCAAGTCTGCAATATGTAGATTGCATATACTAAAACATTAGTCATTAATTATTTATGTGATCTCCTAACTGCACCATGTGAATTGTACATGTAATGTCCTCTGAATCTTCATAAAATACATAAGTGACCAGGAAGAGATGGTTGATCTGGCAAAGCTAACTCCAGCTGCTCTGGACTAAATGTCCCACGATTCTCCTTCAGTTTAGTAAATGTGCAGTTGAGCATTATGGGGAAAACAATCCACAGTAGTTGGAATGCCTAAGGTTGTCTATAATGGATTAGTGAAGGAAAAATAGTCCTCAAATGCTATCAGTGATCTAAATGTCTTTATTGGAACAATATCCATAATTGTTACTCGTTTCTTTTCTGCAGGGGTGTCAGCACAGTCCTTCCTTAACGCTTTCAACTTTGCAAGCTCAGCTTTCAACCTACAAGTAGCTACACCTGCGGTGAGCAGAGCTTCTTATTTTACGTTATAACAGAAAAAAGCATTCTAGGTTGATGATGATAATAATATAATGATAAAATCTTAATGTAGTAGCCAGGCCACAAAACACGACATTTTGATTCACATTTTTTCCAAAACATGGAGTGTCATTATGTGTAAGACTACATTGGGTGCACTTGAGTAACGTGTGTTTGAGAAAGAGAGAATGAATGAATTGGTGTATTTATGTTAAGGTTTAAGAATTGCAGAGGTGTATGTGTAGCATGTCATTGTGTGTAAATGCAGTTTTGTATGCGGCCTATTTGCCCTGAACGTTCCTATGTCACTCATCCCATGGAAAGTGACATTTGGTGGAATTGAGTCAGTAATGCTATCCCACCTTGTCTCCATATTACTTTCTCTAAATGTCACTTAACCTTCCCTTTACCATGATCACCCATTGTCTGATTGTCACTTCCTCTTCCACCTGGTCACAAACCCCCTTCCTCTAATTATTACATCTTTCTTCTAGTTGTCACTGCCCTTGTCTCTAATTATCACTGCTCCCTCCTATGTCACAGCCCCCTTCCTCCCATTTTCATCCTTTTTTTTTTCTCCAGGAGTGTTTTATGAGGCCCCCTCTTGTTTGCCTGTATTTGCCTGAGGGTGGAAGCCTCATGCCTGGTCTCTAGTGTGAGCCCTACAAAGCTGGGCATATAGTTCAGGCAAGTACAATTCTGGCATTTTCCCAAACTGCAGGGTACTGGATATTGCATCGCTCGTCACTGTAGCGTGAGCTCTGAGTAGTTATTTGTTTTCTATAATAGACAAAGTACAGCTTTGTGTGGCTGTACTTGACATCACTGTCTGGGGGTCCACTACTGCAGCCTCCAGACTCCCTGCCACCTCCTTTCTAACTGCTGTTTGTATGTGGTCATTGTGGCTATGATTAATTTACAATTCTCTTGCCCCAGCTCAATTTAAACTAGCCATGTGTGAGAACGTGAGTGGAAATGTGGAGCCCTGATAATATCACAAGAAAGTTATTTACCAGGAAAAATACACGTAAAATGAAATTGCAAATATTGTAGCCAGGATCATATTACAAATGTATTCGCTTTTTTACTTGTAAGTGTAGTACGTGATCTAATGGGACCTTTGATTCACTAAAGTCTTTTCATTCACAGGGAAAGGCTCTGGATTTTGTGGGGATAAATGAAACGGATTCAAGATGGTTTCAGGAATTTCAGCTGAAGCCCTATGCCAACCCTGCAAGGCTAGAATCGATAGATGGTGAGACACAAACCATGCAAGCATCATTTTGGAAAGTCAGGGCGTTCTAGCACCTCTAAATAAGAGGGAGGGTAACTCTGTGATGGTAGGATGTGGAAGTCTAGGGATTTTCTGATAATCTAATTTTGACTTTTGCATCCATATATTGTATTTTTATAGAGATTCGATTGGTCCAGATTATGTGAATTTTAGACTGGAAGCATTCATTTTTTTTTTCATTTTATGTTTTCATTCCACCAGGCGCTCGATATCATGCACTTCTAATTCCACATTGTCCTGGGGCCCTGACAGATCTAGCAAACAGTGGATATCTGGCCAGGATTCTACAGCACTTCAAAGCAGAGAAGAGTAAGTAGGATGAATGAATAAAGGGTGACACACTGGAGTTAATTCCAGACTTCAATATACAGTTAGCATATAATTTAACACACATTTTCCATGAATGGATAAAACATTTGGTCGTCCAAATTGGGGGTGTGGCGGGAGAGGGCTTTGCTCTATTTTTGCATGCCTTTTCTTACTTGGGAAAAAAAAATGTGGTGAATTCCATGCTTTTTGTAATTTGTGTCTTTTGCACAAAGAAGAAAAAAGGAAACTAAACAAATATTGTAGTCATATTTTTCACTCATAAGGCTCAGTATGGAAAATCTAACTGGATTAAATACTATATTTTTTGTGAAAAGCAACTACTTAGCTCGATATACCTCTAACGAAAACTTGCATTTATTTGTATTTATAAGCATGCATTTAAAGGACCACTCTAGGCATCCAGACCACTTCAGCTTAATGAAGTGGTCTGGGTGCCAGGTCCATCTAGGATTAACCCTTTTTTTTTTTTTTTTATAAACATAGCAGTTTCTGGGAAACTGCTATGTTTATAATATGGTTAATCCAGCCTCTAGTGGCTGTCTCTTGACAGCCGCTAGAGGCGCTTGCGTGCTTCTCACTGTGATTTTCACAGTGAGAAGACGCCAGCGTCCATAGGAAAGCATTGTAAATGCTTTCCTATGAACTGGCTGAATGCGCACGCGGCTCCTGCCGTGCATGCGCATTCTGCCGATGACATCGCTATGGAGGAGGAAAGGAGGAGGAGAGCTCCCCGCCCGGCGCTGGGGAAAGGTAAGATTTTAACCCCTTCCTCTCCCCAGAGCCTGGCGGGAGTGGGACCCTGAGGGTGGGGGCACTATAGTGGTCCGTTAATGATTTGTTTTTCATTCAGGGTAAATCATACATCAGCCTGCAAAATCTGCAGTCTTTGCAAACCATCCCCTTCTTCCTCAGCCCAGACTTTCTGTGACTTCCCAATCACAGACTTCCTAATATAACTCAATGAGAAGTATTTGCAAGGCAAGTTCTCTGGGAAATTGCTACTCTTGAGATTAGTTTCACTGAGCTAACCAACCAGGAAGTAATAGGATCAGTTGTCTGAATGCCAAAGAGGGTGTAACAAGGTTAATTTATAAAGTGCCGATTTTTATTGAAATCTACACTTTTTGTAAAATGAAAAAAGAGGACACACTCTTCACACACAAAGTATTTCAGCAAACTAAAGTGCTTTAGGCATCTGGCGTGTCACTTTAATACTATTACTTAATAATAATACTTATTTTGGAAATCCCAATTTTTGGTGAGCAAATTGGAGGGAAAAACAGCAGTTGTAAGCTAAATTTCGCGATAATGGGTAGGCAGTCTATGACACTCCAGATGTTTTGGACTACATCTTACATAATGCTCTTACAGCCATAATGCTGGCAAAGAAATGTAGTTCATAACATCTGGAGTGCTGTAGGTTGCTTACCCCTTTTTGTAGGCAACTGTTCCCCTTTTTTTTTTTGGGGGGGGGGGGGGTTATTATCTGGCTGCAATATTTAGTTACACTAAGTTCAGTTCATGAGGATTGTGGGGTCAGTACAAAAATCACATGGAGTGATTCAGAAATTCTTTGTGTCCCTAGGATCACATATTTGGAAGAAGACATGAGGCATGAAGCCAATGTTTATGAAAGTTAAGACATTAAAAGCAAACACGTGCTTCGTATCACACTCAATTTGTTTTTGTTTCTTGGTTTACATTCCTGCATAGTGTCAACTGTATAAGGAAGGAGTACAGCAGAATGTGGTACATGTGGTGGAATATTACTCGAGAGCATGTTCTGAGAACAAGAAGGGAGGATGGGTTGGAGAAGGGGTATGGCATTTTACATGTCTGTGTGACTCAATTGTGTGGGATATGCTATCCAGTTAATAGGATTTTATTTATTTATTAATTTTGAGAAAATAAAGACATACAGTAAGATTGCAGGTGGCACCTTACTGCCTACAAGTGAGATTACAGTAACAAGATAAGGTATCTGCAAGCTAAATAATTTATTGCAGGAAGAAAAGAAAGAATACATAATAGATATATATTGTAGTCACATCCCACCTCCTTTAACCCCTTAAGGACACATGACATGTGTGACATGTCATGATTCCCTTTTATTCCAGATGTTTGGTCCTTAAGGGGTTAAAGGAAACTGTAACTGCTTCCTCTCATTTAATTAATTATAGTGTCTAAATGTCTGGAGTCCCATGGCACTATCCTTGCATTCAGCTTTAAACCATTTTAAAACATTTCATGCTAAATGAGACTCCCAGTAGCCTATCCCCTGTAATGCTGCTTGGGCTAATGAGGAAGCATTAGTCTGACCAGCAATGGGTGGCTTTGATTGGCTGAGAGTGTCAGGTGACTGTTTTCAGTCTATCTGCTTGAATGAAATGATATGGCTAAATGGAAGTGTGCAAACCCTTCCTTAGCCATACTTCCATTGGGGCCAGACCGTGGGTTACTATGGACACTTATTTAGTATTTGAATGGAGGAACAGTGCCAGGGGTCTACAGTCACTAAAATCACTCCATTGTGATGAAATTATTATATTACCTACAGTGTCCATTCAAATTAAGGTAGTTGCATGTCTTCATCTGTTATAACTTTTTTTTTTTTAATAGCGAGATAAGCCATACAGTTGCCTTTTGCACATCCAGTGCCAGCCCCCAGAACTTGGTACAAAACTTTACAGCATGACTTAGTATTATTGATAGAAAGAGTATGCTGCCTGATTGGCAATATATTAATGGAAAGGTTTGCTCGCATGTTTAGGGTGGCACTAGTCTTAAATCATTATACATATGAACTTAGGAATTATTTAGCTTTTGTGTCTTGCTTGTCCTCAGAACCTATCTGTGCAATTGGGCATGGTGTATCGGCATTGTGCTGTGCCACCAATGAGGACAGATCCTGGGTGTTTCAACACTACAGTCTCACTGGGGTGAGTGGCAACACATGAAAAGAAGCTCCAGCATTTATTTTATTGTTCATTTTCCTTAGCTAGCTGCTCATAGCACAAAATGTATGCTGTTACATGTCTTGGGAAATTGTGCTGTAAACCTATTTTCTATTTCCAGAGTAGATTTTATTTTTCTATAGAGCTCTCTTGGTATTTATTAGGAGACGAGCTATAGAATTTGAATCCACTGAGAGGTGGCAGAACTCGGTGTTGATCAAATGCTATGTGGAGACTGCATCAAAATTAATAGATTTAATGATTTCAAAACACCATACCACCTGGAATAGGGGGTGCCCAAAAGGTAGATTTTTTTTTTTTTTTTTTTTTTTAAACGACCGCTTCCATGATGCTTTGTCATTCAAAAGCATTCTAAAGGCATGTTGTAGTTCTACAACATCTGGGGATCAACCTTTTGGGCATCCCTGTCCTAGAACATAGATTTTATTAATTGTGAGATTCATCATGGAACTGGTGCAGCTTTGTATACAAATAACACTATGTTAATTGTGCCTTTTTAGAGACAGAAAAATCAAACTGGATAAGTAGGGCTCAAATACATGTCCACTTCTGCTTAAGATAGTGGGATTGACACTTTTGAGTGTCAGCTGCTGCCATTTGAATGTAGTTCAGTCTCTAGCTGAATTAATTGTGGCAGCTGAAATAACTACCATCCTGGAGCTATGTCTTAACTTTATAGAACTAACCTTCAAATCTATGGTAGATAATCCTTTCTCTGTTATAAGCCTTCTGCTTCCTTAGAGTTTAGAGCCAAACCTGGTAATGGTTAATATCTCTCCCTCTGACCCTCTCTTCTTTTTATCTCAGCCCTCTGTGTATGAACTGGTGCGTCAGCAAGATTATGCTAGTTTGCCATTGATTCTGGAAGACTTTGCAAAGGAATCTGGGGCAACATTCAGTGGTAAGTACCACATCTGTTCTTGATTTTTAGCAACATATATATTGAAGGAACGTATAGCCGAGCAGGCACAACCGTTAATGACCTGTAAATTCACCTAGTATGTTAAAAAAAAAATCTCAAATTAAAGCATTTTGATTCTTCAAATGTTTCAAATCTTTGTCGCTTAATAATTTATTACGATTACAATAAAAAAAAATCAGTCCACCCACATACTTTTTAAATGCATGCCATTTTATTTCCAGCTAAATCAATTTTCAAAGTGTATTTTTTTTGTTTTTGTTTTCTGAATGAAAGTGCTCACTTACTGTCCTGATGATGTATTCATTCCATTTCCACGCATGAGACATCGCTGCGTCCATTTTATGAGAAATTCTATCCAGCTGACTGCATTAATGATTTTTGCAAACATTAATTTTGCATTAAGACTGTCATTGAGTTTCATTACTTGATGTTCTGCTCAAATATTGGCTATTTTCCAAAAGCATTTTTACATTATTTTTTTTTTCTTGCATTGAAATGTAACTTTCACAGTATAAAGAAGTTTAAACTAAAGTGAAATCAATTTCCATCATTACATATGTACAGGTTTTGCAGTAGATCATCTACATATATATATATATATATATATATATATATATATATATATATGTGTGTGTATATATGTATATGTGTGTATATATAATAAATTATGAGTTTTTAGAGGAATCCTCTGCACTTCACCTTTATTGAGAATGGGCTTGTTAATGGGGACATGTAAAAGTGTCTTTATTTCAACGTGTTCAGAAGAGGAGTTTATTTTCTGTAATTTAGATGCTTTAGTAATATTACATTTCCAATTTTTGTCTTTGTGTTCAGCCAGTGAGCCAGACGCTGTCCATGTTGTACTGGATAGGCATCTAATCACTGGACAGAATGAGAACTCAACAGTAGCTGCTGTTCAAAATCTCATCTTGATTAGCAATGGGAGGTAAGTACCAGGACAGGCGCCAACGACTCAAAAGTAAATGTGTGGTTTTTACATCAGGCTGTGGAGTATCATATATGCTGTATACCAGGGTATCACTTTATAGCGGGATTAACATCTTAGTAAATATATGCAGAGAGGACTAAATAAATAAAAGGGTTATGAATATAGAGTAGGCTAGAGAGAGGATGGTGACTGTATGGGTACAATATGTACAGACTATATGGGCCGCAACTAGATAATTTAAAAAATGTATGTAGTACCTAAGAACCACAACTAGATTGGTAAAGAGTGCAAAGCTGGTTCTTTATTTGAGAGTTGCTGTTTTTTTTTAAAATTAAAGCTATTGTGTTATTTTGATGTATTTGTTTTTTTTTAATTGGTGTCCCTTTAATATTTTTTTTGTTTAGGAAATAATACCTCTGTCAAGACAGATAGCAGTGACTTTTGTCCCCAAGTGGCCCAAATAGCTTTTTGGCAAAAGAAGAACGACGTGGTCAGAATGTATCTACAGGATCAGAGATCCAGCTTGGAAATACCAACTTAGCATATTGCCAGGAGAGCAGACGCAAGAAGGAACTCATCCCACATCTAACATCACAGGATCAGAGGGCAACCTTGTGATCCATTGTCAGTCATTGTAAGATTTACATACATTTTATTCATTTGCACCTACTGTTTTTCTACTTGCATGTGTATAGCACAAGATATTTGTTCAGTGTTTTCATGTGATCGGTAAACCAAGCCAATAAACGTGAGTCGAGGTTGAAATTCATAATATTTTCATTGCACCATAAATCCACCACACTCATTGAGTATTGGTTTTATTTTGTGTATTTTTCTATTGCGTGGACTATCTGCACTGCTACAGGATGTACATGAGTTTGAATACATTGTACATACAAATTTAGCTTAATTAAGTGATTTTGGTGTAAAGATCATGCTCCTGCTGTCTCACTCCGTTTGCCTCCATGGAAACAAAGGTTTCATTTTCAAACTGATTTTACAGCCCACTGTGTTTACTTTAGAACTTATTTCCTGTTTTGTTAATTGTACTTTAATCACACAAAAAGGATGCTGCTGCAGGGTTTAGCAGCCAATTAACCCCTTAAAGGTACACTGAGCACTAAAACACTTGCAGTTTCACATAATTCTCTGCCATTTAGGAGCCGTTCTACCCACACCTCCCCTGAATGAGATTCACACAGCCTCCCTATACATTTCCTGAAAAGAGTCTCAATGTTTTAGCTTACCTTATTGTAGTGTGTTTAATTTAGAATTTCTTATTTCCTGCTCTGTTTGTATCTGCTACATCATGCCGCAGCCTCCTTTGTGTGATTAACCATCAATTAACATAGCAGGATATAAAAACTTCTAAAGTAAGCACTGGATTCTGTAAGATCTTATTTATTTATAACAATTTTTTTCATGGACAATGTGCATTTTACAGCACTGGAGGTGTGGCTAGGGCTGCATAAACAGAAACAAGGGCTTTAACCCCTAAATGACACAGAAGTGAGCAGTGAGACTACAGGGGCATAATATGTACACCAAAACTGCTCCATTAAGCCAAATTTGTTTTGGTGCTTAGTGTCCTTTTATGGACCAAGGCTCTTTTGAAACATGGTGCATTTGTGACCAAGGCCTTTTGTCACTTTTGCCTTGTGTTCATTCAACTATATAATTTCACCATTTCTGTTAAAGTGCACCCATACATATTATCTTTAATAATATGCCCATATTATGGCTTTCTTCTGACGATATATATATATTCTCAGAAAATCAAATATGAATAAAATATACCATACAAGTTCGACGGGTATTATGGTTTTTATTTGGCCTTTTTGGGGGCTGAAAAATAAAGATTTTAGAAAAAAAGATCTCAAATGATTTTTTTTACAGGTACTTAGTTATTTTATTCCCCCCTTGGGAACCCCTAGTCACCTTGGGGAGAACATTTTCATTTATGGCCCCCACCAGCCGCTCAGGAGTAGGGGCCGGGGGGTGGACAATAGGTCCCCCCCTCCCTCTTTTTTTTTTTTATGGCCCCCATCTACCGCTCAGGGGTGGGGGCAGAGGAGGAGGACAATTGGTTCCAACCATTATTGTTGTTTATGGCACCCACCCGCTGCTCAGGGGTGGGGGCCAGAGGGAGGACCATAGGTCCCCATACTTATTTAGGGCCCCCATCATATTGACCCCCATAGAGTGAGGGAGGACGTGGGGGGCTTAGGAAGTGGTGGGGAGCACTGCTCCCTGCCGCTTCTATATTTAAATTTTACAAGGAGGGAGCTGCGCGCTCGTAGCTCCCTCCTTGTAAATCAACTGAACAACAAACAAACACCGATATTCAGTGTTTGTTTGCCTGACATATTTGTTTGTTCGTCTTTCTGACGAATGAATGGATAAAATTCCCATTCACATGCCCAAGTGTTTAACATGCGTGGGAATTTCACAGCGCTATCTAGTGTGGGCAGATGATGTGTCCCACTGGGACTTCATCTACCCACACAAAGATGGCGTCGCCCAGAACATAGGTCCGGGCAGAAAATAAAGTTTAGGGGTATTTGGAGGTGACTAGGGGTCAGTTAGATGTAGTGGAGTCGGGAGATGGGGTTAAAAGTGTGACAGCCCGTGCTATCACTGGGGGTTAAAGACATAACTCCATGATGGCATACCCTGTCAGACGGTCCTTACAGGGTTAACAACAAAAGGAGATAAGAACTTCTAAATTAAACACAAAATAGGTTATTTAGGAGAGTGAGAATTCAAACTGAGTTTAAAATTTCAGGTCCAATTAGCCAAACTGAAAGCATAGCTAATTTAGAGAATTTTTCCAGTTCAATTATTTTGACCTTAAATTTGAAATTCACTTTGAATTTTCACTTTAGTGGATAACCCTGATTGGAAGTTTAAAAATAAGACACACGATGGCTAACTTGAATAAATACGCCAAGGCAGCCATGTTTTCAGTTTTGGCTTTTTTCTGAAAATTTCAAATTTGCCATGAACCAACAACAATCCACACTTCTAGTAGTAGCTGACTTTGAAAAAAATACTAAAGTGTATAAATCTTTTGCCAATCTTTCTCAATTCCTAGTTTTTTAAAAAAGTTTTTTGAAAAAACAAAACAAAACACATTGACTGCAAGATTGTTCTTGCGTATAGAGATTACTAACCTACTCAAGGATTCTTTGTTTGTAAATCTCAGAAAAATGAAAGCTGAAGTATCTCTGCCAGACATAGAACATTTGACCTTGAAGTTTGAACATATTGCTTATCTGGTTATTTAAAAAAAAAAAAACCTGTAATGTCACAGGAAAGACACTACATTCTGCAATAAAGTTGCTTGCAAACTAAGATTCAGTCAGGACATAAGGAATGTTTTACACTTCCCTTATACTAAAATGGGGGCCATATTGACCTCATAGGCTTATTTATTTATTTTAACTATTTAATGTGGCGGTTGGCTAGCAAGTGCAGCCAAGGTGTTTAGTGTACAATTCTAGTGTAAACTATGATATAAATAAACAATTTACAAACAATAAAATTACAAACATGTATTTAATGTTAGCTCTCATCTGAAATACTATAGACAAACAACAACAAAATTGCTGATCCCAGTAAACTTATTTTGCAGACTTTCATGTATAAGGAGACTTCTTAACATGTTCCATTTTAAAATTGTATCAAAAATCACATCTTAAAGTTTCTTAGCCTATGCATCCTGTAGTAAACCTATGGAGCACTGTGTTCATAGCAGTCACATATTGCCTTACATACCTCATTGTGGTACTGTAAACCCTCTGCTGTAGGACGTTACCAAATAACAGCATTATCTTTACATCTTAGAGCAGTTCTGTGGTATAATTGGTTAAGTTTAACTTGTAAATGTTTAAATGTGTCCTTCGTTCACAGAGAACATCTTAATACTTAAAATAGATTAAATACAATGCCACTTTTAAATGCCAGAGATATTTCCTTAAATGTACATCCACAGATGATGAATAGGGATGTTGTAATAGTTTATATGTTGTTGACTAGGTAACAGGCCCAGCCTGTTCTCGGTACAGTCATTTGCACAGACGATATATCCCAGTTTACAGATCCATTAGAACAGACCTTTGACGTACACCAGAAAAAGACTTTCTCACCAGCAGAACCACCACAGCCACAACAGTGCCACCTAGAACCAGCCCAACAACCAGCGCGGTGTAATTTGTAGCAGCTACTGCAAAGAAATAAAGAAGACCATGGGACAGGATGTTTTGAACGCAGAGTCAATGACCATAAAATGGCATAAAAGGCACATTAAGGTCTTTGCAAGCCACTAAGAGCATTAGGTTTCAAATTATCCTTTGAGATAAAAAATGGACCAGGGTATTTTATTTGAACATAGCATCTTAATGCCTAATTGTTGTACCCATAGAAACCAATAAACTGAAAAAGGTATCTGTTTTTAAGGACTCCTCTGCCCCTGTATTACTATATATATATATATATATATATATATATATATTGTTTGGGTGTAGGTTAAGTTGGGATCTGAGGACTCCCTGTAGCCTGGAGGCCTTGACATGTTTCTTCTTTATTTGAAATAAATTATGAGGTTATTAGGTTACCTTAATAATCAGAGAAGCTGGAATGTTTGGCATTCCCTCAGCACATTTGGTGAGAAGTTAAAGGAATACTCCAATTCCCTATAGCACCGTAGCTTGCTGAAAGGCTTTATGCATGAAGAGTGCATCCTCTTATTTAATGGATTTATATCTACTAAACAGAGGTTTGTATTTATTTTCTATTTGGGTAGTGGATTATTCCTTTAACAAAAAATGGGTAGTAAGCATAATGTTTCTACCTGTTTTCTCCATTCCCATGTGCTACAGGATAGGAGGGTAATATTACATGACCTGGGAAGTCCTTATGCTCTGCCATCCCACTTCTTAAAATAACCAGACAGAGGTTACCTTCCTCTGCGTACTTGTTTGGTCACTTGTAGTTGGGGGTCACAATTTATTAAATGAAAAACAGCAGTGACATTCAATACTGTCATGGTACAGCTTAGACAAAATATTCTGACATTACCCTGACTCATGCTCACGCATGGTCTGAGACCGTGAGAACAGTCCAATCAATTGCTGAAAAGCATTTGATTGGACCTCGCTGAGGGATGAATTGGTGTCAGACAGGGCATGGAAGGCAGCAAGTGTAGCTTTGCCTGGTGCTGGTTTCCAGGTAAGCTTTAAGCTTTTTATTTTTCAGACCTATAATGGGGGTGAGGGGTAACCTATTTTGGCCCTGATGGTTCTTATACCTTATCTGTGACAAGCTACTAGTCTTTATTTTGCTTAGCACTCTTAGTTCCCTGACAAATTTAGAGGACAACTCATGTCCTGGTTTGGCAGTCTTTCTTGACCATCTCCAGTGATATTTAACTCTACACATTTCCTACACTAAATACAATAAATAAATAAAAGGTTTAAAAGTAGGTGCTACTATCACTTTGTGTAGGTCAGCCAATCACACACAAAAGACAGTAACTAAAATAGGTTAAAGATAGTAGTGAGAGTACACTGATAAGTATAGGTATAAAAATACACATATAATAACTATATAAAATTGCAGTGAAAAAAGAGTGTAAGTAAAAAAACACACACATGCAATTTTTACCATAAACTTTATATACAACCTAAAATATAACCAGAAAATAGACCATAGTGTAATCTGTATAAATGTTATAAAAAACAAGTAAACACAAATTGTTCCCATCAGGTAGGTAGGATTCCCACAGGATACTGGATACTGTATTTCACATACTTGATTTGTAAAAACAAAAAAAAGGGTAACAGAAAAGTAACCAGGATAAATGTATTGAATTAAATGTATAAAACTCAAAAGATTTTACTGCACAGCAGCACTAATGTGTTTCACCAATAAATGTCTTTCTCAAAGTGCTCTCACTATTATTTTTAACCTATTTTAGTCACATTTCCTACACTGACTTATTGACCTAGTTTATTAAAATAACTGTATTTTTTGATACAACTTTGCTTGCCATTGTGTTCCCGTTCTTTGCTATTATATTACTGTACTTTGCAAATTCTTTAAATTAAAAAAAACAAAAACAAATTTACATTAAGGTGTTTCTGAAGCTTTACACAAGTCCTCTAAACATGAAGGACACTTTTTTTTAAAGTATTGATTAGTAATGTTTATATTTAATACTGACCTCTCCTTGACTCTCGGATCACAAAGATTGGTTTAGCAGTAACGTGATAAGTCTCTGTCTCCATCAATGAGTTAATTGGCTGATGAACAAGAACAGTCACAGGACAGTTGGAACCACAGGGTTGTGATTGATTGGTGCTTAGACAAAGCTTTACCTCACAGCTTACAAATACCTGGATGAATAATACAACATGGTCAAATTATTTTTTTGGGGGGGTGGTAAACGGGGGGTGGGGAGGGGTGAGGGGCAGTGGCTTTAAAAAAAGCTTTGGTAGATCAATATGTTAACAGCATCTACCGTTTGCATATTCTGTCTTCATTGTCTCGACCTTTAACCTTCTTTCTAGATTTTGTTAGCTGCTGCCTGAATGCAGTGGCATACCTGAGCATGGCCACGGGGGCAGTTGCCCTGGGTTCAAAATTCTTAGTGGTGCAAAATTTCCAAGAAAAAAGTAATAAAAAATTTCTCGCCCTCACACAAAACAAATCTCCCAATGTTCGAACATTGTACACTAATAATATTTTGGCTGACATTTATTTGCCACATCATGTTGGACTCAGCCATGATGCCAAACAAGTGTCTGTGGTCATACCTGCTGTTCCTTTAGAAGCAGAGACAGCTTTGCCTGAGGATGCTTCAACTTCTGCTCAGCTAAATATTCTTCCAAAGAGTATTGACCTAAAATGTTTTCACGGATATCGGCTATTGGCCTGAACTGAACTTGTCAAAAGAGACATTGGAACTGCATAGTATGTAACTGCATAGTAAGGATGATAGCAGGTCATTTTCCAAGGATTGGTTCAACATGAATTTGGACTATGGTGGATATTGCAAAAGAGTCTTTTTAGACTATTTTTTTTTTATCTATCACTATTTTAACTGTCAGTAGTGAAAGATGTTTCTCAAAACTTAAATTAATCAAAACGTATCCAAGATATACAATGAGCCAAAATAGACCTAGCAATACTGTCAATTGAGAGGAATTTCAATGTAGATTTCAATACTGTTCTTGAAAAATGTGCACAAATTAAAACCAGGTTTTTTAAATAAATGTGAGTATAATAGCATCAAATGCATTTTAGTTTAATTAAATCAGTATTTTCTGAAATTACAATGCATTTGCTTGTGGTCTTGGGAGTAAGGGGTCCAATACTGGACTAGTGGAAGCGACTTGGTGAGTGCTAATGGTTCATGGGTTAGGGTGCGCATTACTTACCTTCTCCTGGGCACTGGTAACCCACGCTACGCCACTACCTGAATGTACTATTTGTGTGTTCTACATTTTTCTATCACTTTCTACTGTGAAACCATTGGTCTAGAACTGTGGTTTGCGCTCAGGTCCTGCCTTCTTACTATCTGTACTCCTTGACAGCCACTAGAGGGCTTCCTAGTTTGAAACAGACCTTTGGTCCATTATCTGATGCTTTCATGCTTTTCTATGGGAAAATCCTAATGTGTGAGCTGGCGGGGGAGGAGCCTGATCCAGCGCCGAGGGACATCGGCACTGGGTTCAGGTACGTGATTGAAGCCCCTGCAGCCCTGGCAAGAGGGAGGTGGTCCTGTAGGATTCTATAGTGCCATAGGACGTTTTTCTATAAGAAGATCTAAGTTGTTAACCAGTAGGCGAAAAAGTAATTTTTGGTGTTAATGTTATTGGAGCATTGGGCTCACAGTCTAGAGAAAAGACAGGATGCATGCCATTTTTTTAATTGAGCCTATTTGTAGATAGACATCATGGAGACTACACATTGCATTTAACCATTATTTTAAAATATAAACAAACACATTTATACCAAAAACAACTGTCATGAAAAAGCTACATCCATGAGAAAAGCTAAGAATGAGGCAATGCAGTGAATATTGTTAATCCAAAAAGTTTAGGCAGTGCTACTTGGACCCAACATACCATGGAGGAGTCAGTCCCTTGAGGGAGCCCCGATGGGCGAAGGATGAACACTCTCTTATTGTATTCTCCCTTTATCTCCTCTGCTGTCCGGCTATCCAAACACCTGCAGTATGAACAGCAGGAACAACTGGTTCAGTCATCTTAATGATACCAATATTACATGCAGAAATCTAATGCTTACAAAAAAAATATTGTTCCCTTAAATTGTTAATGCTGCAAACACACATACACACACTAACCTATACAGGCACACACTGACCCATACAGACACACATGCACACACACACTGATCCATACAGACACATAGACATATACAACAAACAAAAGTGGGAACAACATCACAGGAAGTATGTCATTGCGTTCCAGGGTGGAACGCACGCCGCCGGTGAACGGCGTTTAGGTGAATTAATATGGATATAAGAAGCTCCTTCATTGAAAGATTAACCACATATCCCTGAAGAAGTCCTTTATACTACTTGGACGAAATGCGTCGGATATTGGACTCTTGATTTGTTTTTATTTGTTATTTTATTATATTTCTTCCTGCTTTTTCATTTGCCTGCGGCCAGAGTTGGAATTTTTCCGGTTTCCAGTTCCACCACGCTGCGGTCTTGTTCCACTTGAAGTGGAGATATGCCTGTTTACATCTATCTGTCTGTAAGTGTAATCCAATAAACGTATTTTGCACTTTTTTTTTTAACATACTTCACCATATATGGTTCTTTTCATCCATTCCTTTGAAGACATTCCTATTACCAGGATCTACTATCATGTCCATACTATATATACCCCAGGGGGGTGAGAGGCCTGATTTCGACTTCTTGCTACTAGCACCTCATTTCCTATATTCATTATACTGTGTTACGCTATGATATGTATTTGTTATTATTCTAGAGTCCCTGTTATTCTTGTATAGAATATTTCAGCCCTGGATTCTATTTTCCAGGTTGTATTCAAATTTTTGTACGCTTATTGGATGTTGTTCCCACTTTTGTTTATTGTCTCTATCTTTGGGTGTTAGTGAGGTACACCTGGGATCACTTCAATTTAGCGGATTACTATTCTGTCTTTAGTGTGTATACTGTTTTCTTTATCACATAGACATATACACACTGACCCAATGCAGACACAGACAGTGACCCATACAGACAAACACACTGACCTATACAGACACACTCACACACTGACTCATGCAGACTGACGGGCTGACACACACACACTGACTGATCCAGACTGACAAACACAAACAAACTGACCAAGGCTTGAGTTATCTCTTTAGTGAGTAGTAGAGGATCTTATGAACTTCCATATTTAATAAGCCCACACAAGCAGTAGAATGGTTAAAGGGGAAGGCTTCCCTGACTCATTATTATTAACATTCACCAGCCTGTCTAATTGGTAAAAGGAAATGGGAGATGGCTTTGTGATAAGCCACTTCATAAATTTCTCTCACAGACTTGGTTAGAAAGTATGTTGACCAAAAAGGCAGTAGAAAAATTGTTATGTACAAAAAATTCACGTATAAAGTGACCCACCAATTCTTTAAATCTTTAATTTAGAGAACCCATTTTTGCTATAAACAGTCACCCTAAGATGATGGCATATTGCAATCACTGAATATGGAACAATCAAACATTTTGCCAAAATCTTATCAACACATTTATCAAGGTTAAATGTATTAGGCTCCACCAAAAGATTCTAAACTGAAATGTGGGGATATTTGATAGCCACATGTATTAACATCAATACTTTGTCTATAACCTTTCTAGTGAAATAATCACTAGAATCCATGATGGTAACACATCCCCACTCTTATTAGGAACAGATATGGTTACATCTGATTTATTCTTAATGTTGAAATTAATCTTTTGAGGAACCACAATATTGGACATTGTAAAATGAGGCTGGCACACACAGTGACCCATACAAACACACACACACACACACTGACCCATACAAAACACACATACACACACTGACCCATGCAAACACACACATACACACACACTGACCAATACAGACACATACACATGCACATACACAATGTCCCATGCAGACACACAAAGTTTTCCTGGCACTATAGTTCCCTATTGTGCCCCCCTCCCTCATGATCCCCGCCCCCCCTACTCAGCACCGGATGGGTTAAAACGTCAACTGAGTGAGGAAGCTCACAGACAAGTGAAAAACATTTTGGCTGATTTGGACTTTTATTTGTACTTTTTATACTACATTCTTGGTTTTATTTATTACTTGTAATTTGGAACCAATAAAAAAATATTTTTATATCCATCTAAGTCCTTGGAGCCTCCAGGAATTTCTGTTGGGAAGTGCCATCCCTATATATTGGCACACTGCTGAACACCATCAGAGCCAGGAACTTAAGGCTCTCAACGAGGTGAGCATAATACTTACCACCAGCATATTTACTGCACGTTTGCACAGTACTACCCATTTGGTCTATTTTTCCTCTTTTTTGCGTCCTTTTGGAGGTCCATCATAGAGGAAGTGGTGTGTTGCTGCCCAAAGAGCAAAAAGGTTCATTTTACGGAGCCAATACCATATAGGCTCCAGACCATGTGAGTGGTTTTAGTTATTCACCTATATCACTCATCACTGTTAAAGACCATCTACACTATATGTGTTTCTTTGTTTTTTCCCTTCTATATATGTTTTCAAGCATATTGCTATGTGTGATATCACACCAAATTGACGGGGTAAGTGTCTCTCTATCACTTTATCTTTGTATAGCGCTCCACTAGTTGGTGTATATTTTATACCATATC